CTGCCCAGTCCCCTCCCCAGCCCCCAAACCCAGGATGGTACCTTTAATTTTCCACAGATAAACTGTGAGAATAATTAGAGCAAACACAGCAACCGAGATCAGGACCATGGGAATCATCCAAGGATAGATGCTTCGGAGAAAGGGAACTGAAAAATTAAATCCCCAAAGGGGAGGTTACTTTGTGAGTAAGAACAGAAGGGAAATGATTTCTATTTCATACAAGGTCGTTCCACTTGACTCACACTGAGGGTGAGAAACAGCTCCTGACTGTGCTCCACAAACTGACAAAAAATGACATTATAAAATACACAAAAATTTTAGCAATTTCACACCTGTCTGAGGGTGATGGAGTGACGTGCATCAAGAGTAGCACTCCAGTGCAGAACAGCATCATCAGGAGAAAGGTAAGGCATTTGCAGGGAAACAAAGTCTCCAGGACTTGTTCATTCCCAAAGAACAGACAGAACAAGGGTTCAAAAACAAGTGCTGCTGCTGTGAAGCAATATCAAGAACACTTTTGAAGGAGGAAGCACCTTACGAGCTCCTTATGGCTGCTCGGTGGGCAGTTCTACCTCCATGAAACATTCCTGCTATTTTCAACAGTGGGACTTCATAAAACCCTATTTCCAAAGCAACCCCCTGAAACTGTTTCTGGGCACAAGGACAGGGAACAGGAGCACTGGCCAGGAGCAAGTAAATCAGAGGTACCAGGGACACAAACTACAGACCTGTCACCTTGAGCTCCACCTCAACCTCGTCGTAATCTGAGCCACGGCGAACAAAGCAGGTGTAATTCCCTGTGTCAGATGGTCGGACATGGAAAAGCTTCAAGTCCGCGCTGCCCTTGGCAAGGTCGTCCTTCCGCAGCTCAGTGCGCCCTTGGTACTGAAGCATCTGCTCCCCGTACTGGTCCTGGCCCTCCTTGTAGCGATGCACAAAGGGCGAGAACTGCTCCCGAAACCAGATCACCTCCGTGTCCAGTGCATCCTGCCCTGGGGAGAAGCCGCAGGGCAGCACCACGTTCTCGCCCTTGGCCACGGTGATGGGGTTGGGGGGTCCTGTGACATGGAATGGATCTGGGAGAGACCCTTGGAGGAGGAAGAGAGAAGTGTGAGTTTGCTGAGGCACCTGAGCTCGGGCACAGCAGCGGCTGCTCCGCGTGGTTCGGGTGCTGCCGGGCCGGGCCATGGCGCTGGCAGCGTCCCTGTGCCGGGGCACACGAGGGGCTGAGGGAGCTGGGACAGGGACCCTGCTCTGCAGCACTGCCTGAACACCAAACAGGAAAGGAAAGGGCCTGACCCTGCCCTGTGCTCTGCTGTTCACAGGGAGCTGCTGCACTGGC